TTGGCTTGTTTTTTTTTTCACTTATAATCATCAGAAGCATAAGACCCAGTTTTTCAAAAGCGTGGAACGCTTGCAACTTACTCAGGAACACGACAGATGCCATCCTGGGTCTGACCATAGGTCTGTCTAGCCCAGCATTCTGTATTTTGGGGGCACAATGGAGGCCAAGGGGAGAAGTATTTGCAAGGCAGACTGATCTATCCCCCGCCTTTGGCCTTCTTGTCTTACAGCTGCCAGCACAAGTATAGGAAGTGTAGGGGCAGGAAGATGGATCTTGATGTCTGGGAAAGCTGTAGGTGTTTAGAATTGCTGGAGAAAAAAACTGTTTTTCTGTAAAGTTAAAAGTTGACAGTAAATGGAGAGGCCATTGGATAATCTTTAACAGAAGGTTATTGAAGGCTGTGGGAAATCAGTGCAACCCGCTTTTCAGACTAATATGCATTTTAGCCCACTGGCCACCAGGGGTGCTATAGTGTCCTGCTGTCATGGGTCAGCCTGGCGCTTTCTCTTGACTTGTTTTTGGTGGGCTCTGTGCTTTCTGCCATTTGTGTCTGTTCCTGCAGAGCCAGGGCTGGCTGCTCTCCTCAGTCACTTGTTTCTCTAGTGGCTTCTGTCCAGATTTACATTTGTAGACTGATTCTTGTAGCTATTGCTGCTATGAACCCAGAGCTGTGTTTCTTGGCCTAATGTGCTGGTGGAGGGGAGCATTTTATTAGTATTCTCTTGGCTGTATACTTGTGTGTCTCCGGACCCAAGATGAGGAGGAATTGGTTAACATATTTCCCTACCTGGCAGACTTCTGTGCTGCAGAGACTGAAGGTGAGCCACTTCATTGTACAGAAAGATTTATTGCTAAGATGTCCTCTTCCTCAGGAGGGGAGGACTCTTATCTGGAGTATCTGCTAAATAGTGGGCTGTTGGCATTCCCATTCAGTAAGGAATCCAAAATGTGCCAGCTGTTTGCATACTAACAGCGTGCATTACTCCCATATCTTTTGTGTCTGGAGGAATTCTGGTGAAGAAAAAGCAGCTGCCTGATGTAGATGGAATATTGCTTGCCCAGACTCCTAAAATCCTCTCTGGTTGCTACACACTGCTGATGACAACAGAAATGCTTTAGCACTTAGACACTTCTGCAGTGACATTTAAGATTGTAATTGACCCATCCCACATTATCTTTTTTGTCCAGTGATCTTTTGTGCTACCTTGCTTCTGATGAATTCACTCAGGAACACAAGGTTTTTAATGCATTATCCTACATTAATCAGATCTGGAATGTGCAGCCTTCCTTCTCAGAGCTTATGTTAAATTTGCTGCATGTAAAATGAAAGTGATGTTGCCAGGGAGAGGAAAGTACCTTTGAATATTAAGACTCAACCTACCCCCTTGGTTGAAAAGATACTTGTCTCCATTTTTTTCTTGTTTGCTTACACCTTTGGAGTTTCATTGCATTGTTGAAATGCAGAACTCTAGAGCTCTTGGTTCAGAGATGATACCCTCTATTTCTCAACTAAGAAATCACAAAAAAATATATTTCTCTGCAAGCGTTCAGGCACATGCACCCTTCTTCAGGCTGAGGACAAACCTAAGATGGTAAACATCTTCCTAGGTAGAAAATAAACTTCATTTTGCACAGGGGAATTTTGAGATTGGAGATCTGTTCTCCTCGGTGTGTGAGAACTTTTTTTGTGATTTCTTAGTTGGTCTAATAACAGGTATCATCCTTGAACCAAGACTTCTAGAACTTTGCATTTCTTTTTGTCTCAGACCAACATGGCTAACAAATACACTGCTGAACAAGAAGGAAAGGTTTTTTTGAGCCTCCCTGCCTTCCTGACATCTGACGCCTTGAGGGATGAGAACAGCTTTATCTGCACATCATGGAGCAGCTCACACAAAAGACTCTTACAGACCCAAGGGAACGACCTCCATCCTCCAAATTCCCCTGTGCAAAATGAAGTTTATTTTCTACCTAAGAGGATTTTTACCATCTTGGGTTTGTCCTCAGCCTGAATAAGGCTGTGCGCCCCCAAAAGCTTGCAAAGAAAGATTTTTTTTTTTGCCATTTCTTAGATGGTCTAATAAGAGGTATCATCACTGAACCAAGGGTTCTGGGGTTTTGCATTTCTTTTTGTCTCAGATCAACACAGCTACTAAATACATCCCTGACTACATTGTTGATTTGTTCTTTGATTTCAATGCAACTCTTTTATCTCCTCTGGCAGAATAGTTCAACCTGTCCCTTGTCATCCAGATCTCACTTCAGTTATCCATTCTTTTACCACTCAGCAGGGTTATTATAGTCTAGTCCTGTAATTCTCAACTTGGTGTTAAGTAAAATTGGAAGGTACCTTCTTTCTTGAGAGAGCCTATTTAGTTTCCCACTTACGTTTCAACAATTATTTAGTGAATAAGTTATCAGGAAATTATAATACCCTGCCTACTTTGCCTGGACATCTTGCTTCTTCAGAAACAGATGATTCATCATCCAGTATTCTTGATAGTGTCTTAGTATGCTGTATTCATAGTCAAGGAGGTTAACAGCTCAGGCGACATTATCAAAATCCTTTAAATCAGGAGTTGGCAACAGATGGCCCATGGGCTGAATATGGTCCGCAGAGCCACTGGATCTGACCTGTGGAGTCAGAAGCCTTTGCCTCTGCTGATGTCATGCTGGGGCTGGACAGTGAGGAGCTGTAGTAAGGCCAGGCAGCTGGAAGCTGTGCTCACATTGCGACTGTTACTGCTTCTCCCCGGGTGCAACTTCTATTTGGTGGGGAAGTGAGCTGGGGCTGGACAACCTCCAGCTGTGCCTGCTCTGTAGCCAGGAATGGAGGGGACAGAAAGAAGCAGCAGCAGCACAGACTCATCCTTCAGTTGCCTGGCCCCAGCTTCCCCAGTGGCTGGAAGCTGCTCCCATGCTTAAGCTAGAGTAGGGGGCCAAAGATAAGTGACAACAGTGGTATAGGTGCTATTCCCAGTTCCTTGGCCCCAGTGTAGCTCCCCTCGAGTTGGAAGCTGTGCTTGAGCCCCAGGTGGGGAGTAGAGGGCCTGGAAAAGTAGTCCTGGTGCAGCTCCCAACTGCCTGGCCTTGGCGTGGGCACAGGTAAACTCCCCTCGCTCTTGATGCACTGCTGAAGCTGCCTGGCCTGTGCCAGACTGAAGCCAAGTTGCACTGGGCTGTGGCTTGAAAAGGTTGCCTGGCCCTTCTGGAAACGAGGTGGACTATGAAAAGCAAGAGAATATGTTGGGCGTGACCTTTCAGATCTAGCTTAGATCTTTTATTTCAACAAGCTTTTCTTGTTTGTGTCACCTTTTTACCTTCTTCTGTTGACAGATATTTTGTCTTGGAGTAATCTTGCACCTGGATATGATCTCTTGGGGGTTTCCTTCAGGTTCTTAACCAAGCCAGAAAGAAAAGTCACAATCACAGGCTTAGTTAATAATGAATCCATGTAGCTCTGAATACAGAAGGAAGTTGTTTTATCCAGTTCACATTTAATAGCTAAAAAAATCTGGACTACCTCTCTTCCTGTCCAATAACCTTCAAAGCAGTGGTAAAGCCTAAGACAGGCAAGACTTGTTGTAGAACATTACAGGGCTGAAATACATAATAGGTATCTCTTTATTTTTGGTGCCCAACATTTTATAGTTTCATAGTTTCTAGGGTCGGAAGGGACCTGAGCAGATCATGTAGTCCAACCCCCTGCCATGGCAGGAAAGAGTACTGGGGTCAAACGACCCCAGTAAGGTGGTCATCCAACCTCCTCTTAA